TTTCTTTGATAATCTGACTATGATTTCTTTAAGGCCTGTTTCAAGTCTATAGGTAAGTTACTCATTGGGTGCTTGCAGTGTGGTGGTGGGAAAGGAGGACTTCTTCTGAAGACAGACATATTTCAGAGATAACAGGCTGTGAGAGAGCATCAGTAAAACCTGTTTATCCTTAAAACCATGATTTCATGAAATTGTGTTCTTATTTTTCTATGTCATACTCTCTGGTTTTTGGTTTACTTTGTGTGTGTGTTTGTATGTGGGTGTAGGAAAGGGGGTATGGAGACTGAAATATTGTAGGGGAAACTGAGAAAATCCTCTGCCAATGTCTTTGTGGCACAGAATTTTCCTGAAGTCTTAAGAGTAAGAAGACATGTTGACTTATGCAGATGCTTAAGTGGAATCATCACGCTGCAGCTACCACATATACTGTTGTAACATGTGCAGCTTTTTTTGGTAAAGCAAAATACTCTCTGTGAATACTACTTAAATGAACTTCATACTCATTACCCTTTTTATTTTAGAAGCTTTATTTTCATATAAACAAGGATCAATGCATGCTAGGTGAAACCTGCCAATGAAAGCATACACATGTATAAACATGCACAAAATACAGAGAAGACAGAAGGCAAACGGTTTATTGCATGAATACTAGACATTTTACTTAAAGGTTTTCTGTGCTTATGAGAAAAAAAATATAATTTTTTCAGTAATGAAAATATATTAGTATATTTTGACAGTCTTCAGAAATGGTTATGTAATGGCTATGCTTGCTAGGGTAGCTAGTTAATCATTGACAAGAGCCATAATGATTAAGCAGCTGTAATTTACTAGTAGTGTTTGAAAGTACAAAAGGGTATGTAATTTAATAGTTAAAACAATAAACACTTCATTTATGTTTCACTAGCTGTTAGGTTGTTTTTATATAAATTCAGCTAAAAAGACTGCTGAATTTTAAATATTTACTGTAAATGTGGAAAAGTGTGGTGCAATTTGGGCAATACCAGGCACGCTGCTGAAAGAGCTGTTGCCATGTTCAGAGTTCAACTATCAAGCCTTTCCTTTGTTTTCCTGTCAAATAATGCCTATTTTGTTTCAAGGTAGACTTCAGTGTTCACTTAATCTTTTAAAAACACTTGTGCTGGACGAAGGAGTCATACTTGGAGATATGTACGTTATTTAGTAGGGAAGTTGAAGTAACGTTGGGTACAAGGAGCCTAGTGCCTCCTGGAACCTCCCCAGGTATCCTGGGGCAGAGTACTCTTGCTATGTATCTGCAGAGGAATATAATGTTTCTGTGCTGTGAACAACTGTTTTAGCCTGGGAGAACTTCATGAAGAGCACACTGGAGGAGCAGTGCTGATCATTCCTTTCTTCCTTTTTTGTTGATGGCTCCTTAGGGGGAGACAAATTTTTGGTAGTCTCTTTTGGATTGCCGGAGAACCGCTGTTATTATTCTCGGCTATCATTACAAAAACAGCTTACATCAAGGTTTCTTTACTCTTTTCCCTCACCACAAAATAGCCATGTCACAGGGATAGCAATTTAACTTCATTTTCACAAATAAAATACATAAAAGTGATTTCTTATTTCTCAGCTGGAGTATATTATCTTCCAGTTCTATCAGGGATATCAGGTGCATAATGTAGTGTTTTGGACTCTGTTAGATAACTAACAGCAAACAGCAGTTAGTTCCAGGTGTTACTGAGCTGGCTCATGCTGCCTCAACAGAGAAATTGTAGAAAGATATTCAAGATTGAAAGTATTGGCAGAGAATAACAGATGATGTTAACCAGAAATGTTTGCAGCTGATTCTTTGCCTTTCATAGTTTATGAAAGTAATGTTTTGTAAGGCACTCTGCATCTGCAAAATTACTCTGCATCTTGACTCTTCATGAGATTGGAAGCATTGTTCTGAATACATGCAGATGGTTTAGCAATAAAATGTTTGTCAGATAATCTACAATAATCTGTGCCGTTTTCCTTTGGTGTGTGACCATACATTCCTAAAGCATTAGGCTAATTATTTTAATTTTTTTAAAGTAGTCTTTTATTTAGAGTCCTCATTCATATAATTTCTGAATAATTTTTTCTTCAGTAACTATGGTCATGTATGTTACAATCATTTTAATTTCTATTTTATGTCTTCTGACAGGCTTATGATTATCAAATGCAGATATTTCTTAATATTTTGTCAGGTTACAAGCTGGTAGGATTTATAAGAGAAACGAAGGTTGTTCTTGGAGACAGGACAACTGTTGAGCTTCAAAAGAAAGTGGCAATTGGATTTTATTTTACTAAATAGCTTCAGATTATGGAAATTCTGTGGGGACTATAACTGATAGCAATTACACTTCAGTCCTCTATGTGAAATAAGTTATTTTGTTTCACTTCTCCAATATACATTTTTCTGTTACATTGTAAAATAATTGGGTATCACAATCAGCGTTGCTTGGATGCTCTTAAAATAAAAGCTGCACCAGCCTTTTAACTGATCCCTTCAGAAAGAAGTTGAGACGTGCATGAAAACTCTTACATTGCTTATAAATATTCTGCTACAGTGCTGACAATCTGGCACAATGTCCTAATGAGTATTTAATATATCAAATTGGATAACTTAATTTGACTGTTATTTTTAAATACAGCCAAGCGTTGCATAGTGATGAGTAGTGATGAGTAGCAATGTGACATGTCCAAATAAAATCAACAGTAACATACCTGTTGTCTGTAGCTGGTGTTAGAAATCGTGGATAAATTCCCATTCTTAGTCTCCTAGATATTCTTATTTGCTACCCCATGTGATATAGAAGACATTTTCCTTTTCTAGTTAAAACTATCCTGTTTTGAAGAAACTGGGCAAATAGATCTTTACTAAGGGTCCTTGTAGTACGAGATGGGAAGTTAGTAATAGTGGCAGCATCTGTGTTTTTCTCCCACTCAAGAAGGGAGAGTGGAATTCTGTCTCGTTTGGTTTATAACATCAGATATTTAGAGATAGGAGTCTTATAATTTCTGATTCCTTTCAGTCTGCAGAACTGTCTGTTGTATTTGGCTTAGTTTTAATAGTCAAAATACAATGAACCTTCTGAAAACTCTGCCATCTCAGTTATGCTGGACAGATCCTGAAATCTTTAGCGTTTGATTTGATAAAGAACTCAATTTTAGCGTGTGAACTGAGTAAACTGAGTAGAAGCTCTGGATTTTGCTGTGTGTGTGTGTGTATGCTACTCCTTTAGTTCTATCCTTACAGGTATGTGGTAAGCTATCACACTGGGGAAAAAAAAAATCTGTATCTTTGCTCTACAATGATATTTGGGTTGGAAAAAATGTGCCACAAGCTAAATACTATAACTATTATTTTCATGAATTGCAGGAAAGAGAAGTTTACTGTTTAAGTAAACTCTTTTTTTAGCCTCAGCAGTTTCTTTCAAAAACAGGTACAATGATGCACAGAGCTGTAATAAATTGCCCAAGGGTATATAAAACATTTTGTTTTGTTCTAATCATCAGAGTTTGATTACACTACAATTTCAATCTCTCCTTGCACCTGATGGGGTTAACATTTTTATATCTATTCACTTGGCTAAAAATGAATAATGGGTACATAGGATGTACCACTACAGCCATTTGGTATCACAGTCAAAAAATTTGGGTACTCTGAAGATCAAAGGAAAGTTTTGGCAAGTCTGATGTATATACTTTAAATAACATTGATAAGCTGGAAGGATGCAAGTTGTGGAATAGAAAGCCTTATGTAATACAGATTTTTGTTTTAAATTGTTTGTTTTGCCTTACAGTCATGTAATGAACACATTGGAAAACGCTACAGGAGTGATACATATGCACCATTGGTTTTCCATGAAATAGCAGAAAGAAGTAGGAGTGTGCACTAAGTGCACTTGAAAAATAAATAATTTAAAAACTCTGTGCGCATTGCGGATTGTTACAAGCATAACCTTTAGTCTTCTTTAGAGTAGGTCATTCTGCCCTCAGTTACATCTGTGTAATACCGTGTAAAGTTATGCAAATATAATTGAAGGCAGACTTTTGCCATCAGCCTGGGGATAAAAGACTTGATTGTAGATATCTTGCTTCGAAAAATTTTGAAGTTTTTTTGATATAACTGAATACAAGGATGGCTGTCTTTTGTCATTAGTAAGGCAGTAGTCAGCACTTTGTATTACTTTTAACTGTACCCTTTTGGTCAATTACATAGCCAAAAAAAAAAGTTTTTTCTCCAGAATAAATGCTTGATTTTCATAGGATGAATCTGTCACAGATTATCAAAGAAAAGGATTGATTTCTTAATATAAAATGTTTAGTGTCATAGGAATCAAACTGGTTGGTATTTGAAACTTTAAATAACATCAAGGAAGATTTTTTTTTTTTTTATCATAACATCATAGCAATTTTATTGTAAAATCAACTTTTGTATATCTCCGTACAGGCAGTTATTGGCAGTTTCAAGCTTCACAATAAACTGCAGTGAACACGTGTTCTTTGCAAAGGCCAGTGTTGAGCGGTAACCACAGTAACAGTGAGAGCTTCTCAAACTGCCCGTGCATATTCATTGCATGGACAAGACTGCAGCAGTATGTGTTTGTATGCATACTGAGTATAACGCAAGTATTAGTTACTTGGTGTAAAAGATGACTTTCTTTTAGCAGGAGTGTATCTATGCAGCAGTAGTAACATTCTGCAGTACATTTACTAATTCCTTACCTGACAAGTCGATAGAAGAAGAATTGAAATTTGTGACATTTTCTTAGGAATCTGTGCCGTTACTCAAAGTCGATGACACAGGTGGCTAGTTTTGAAGACAACTTTAACAACTTATTTCACTGTAGGAAATAAAACTAACTCTAGGAATTACAGGTATATTGGATTGTATATGCTGGAGCAGTCTTGCTGAAGGTGTTCTTTGACCAAAGTAGGTCAAAAAGTATTAGTATGGCCTACTTCTACAAAGATTTTAGTATAAGACAGTATTTTGTTCTCTGCAGTGTCATAAGACCTATCGAACAAATTTAAGAGATGAGAACAGAGGACCAAATCAACATATCTAAACCTGTTAGATAAGGTGAGAAAAGATTGCTCAGACATAATATGTACGCATATTGATATTTGTTATTTTTCTGTACATTTTGGTGGGAAGTGCATAATGCCTGCTACAGAAACACAATATGTAACTTTTATTAGCAAAGGAGAGAAAACAACAATCTACAGATTGATCTTGTCATAACTTTAATTCATATTGAAGTATTTTGGGGATTTTTTTTCCCCTGTCCTGTTGATGATTCATGTTGCATAAACAACGTTCTCTTGCTCCAGAAGCTTCAATATTTCACTATTGGATTAGAACTCATGTATTCAGTGTGCTGTAATTGATTCAAATATTTAAAAAAAAATATTCTGATATCGTAAGTACAGGATTTTTTTAAATTACTCTTTCACCAGCACAAAGAAGTTTAAGTGACTGCTCTACTTGATCAAAATGGTGGACACTGAAAACCAGCTCTATCCCCTTACTCCCTTGGAGGAGGATGATATAGGCAGCCCTTTATCTGGAGAGTTCCTACAAGATATGGAGAACATTCAAGACCTCTCTCAGTCTCTAGGTGATGATAGCTCTGGAGCTCTAAGTTTAACAGAGTTCCAGTCACTGGGAAATGGTCCAGGATCTGATGGATCAGTTATAACAGGTAAGAGACTTTTGGTTTACCATAGAACTTTCTTTTATAAATACATAGTGATAGAAAGTAAAAACTTTTTTAATGCAATATTGTTGTTTATGACTAAGTGACACTAGAAATATATAAGCTAATTATAACATGGTCTTAAAATATTTAAGGCTAAAGTTAATTTATTAGACTGAAAAATGACTATAACGTAAAGTTGCTGTTTTAAATTATCATTAGTATCAACACCTTTTTCAAAATAACTTTTAAAAATTGCTATTACTAGCAAAGAAGTTACTATGTATTGTAGTCATATAGGAAGTCACAATATTGCACTAAAGGAATTCCCTATTTTTTAAAGTTTCTTCAAATCACATATATTTAAAAAGTATTGTGAAATGTTTGCCAGAAATTTATAATCTAACCCTTAAAAGCTCACCTAGAATTCCAGTATATTTTAGTGTACTGATGTTTTGAACATGCTGTTTTCTCCCCCATCTCAAGAGTAGCATTGTTCAGCTAATGACTTCTACCCTGGTTGAAGTAACAGTCTCAGAGTGCTAATACATTACATAGTCTTTAGTCAAAAGACCCTTGTGAGAGGCTTTGTTTGAGAGATCAAATCAGAAATCGTAGAAGTGGTATGGGACACTGCAATAATGTCAGTAAGGTATTCCTTTTGAAACCGTGGTTTTACAAATCTTTTAGTAGTAGAGCCATTTTTAAGCAGTTTACGATTAACTTTCTGGTTGGTTTTGTTTTGGGGGTTTCTTACTTTAAATCGATTCCCAGGCTGTGATCACTATTTTACCTTACAAAAACTGCACTAACACAACTGAGGTGTGCCTCTATGCTAAAGTGGTTGAAATGAATCATGTGAGTTTTGAAGGGAGAAGGGAGAGCTGCCTCTTGGCACTATTGCCCAAAGGAATGTTTGTAGAAATATGATTTGGGTTCCTTTTTGTTGCAGACCTTCACATTAGAGAGATGCCTTCTACAGGAAAAGTTATTATGTGCTGTGTTTATAACGTAGCTCTTCTGAGACATGAGTTTTTTTTAAATTATTTCTGTGTGTGTGTACCAGTCCTACAATAACTTAGATCAGCTTCTAGTGTCACCTTCTAATTTGAGTATTCAGTGTTCATTGCAAAACGTTCTAGTTTTGCTGTTAGAGAAGATGGAAAACGTAAACTTTCAAGGCTCAAATTCCATAAGGCAAGTAAAAAGAAAGAAAATAATGCTTTAAAAAAATCCTGGGTTTTAGGCTGTTCTTGATGACTGATGCCTGTGGGCTTGGCAGTGCTGGCAATGCAGACTCTGTGTTCTATGCCAAGGTTTTTTCCAACATAATACTTGCTGACCTACATTCATGAGTGTTTCTTAATCTTTCTGTTAAAATAACACACCCATTAATTTGCTAAAGTCTTGTGGTGCAAGTTGCAAGATGGAAGATAAAAGAAATTCTGGCCTCAGAAAATATTTTCCTCAAACAAGGTGGACATATTAATTGAAATAATTGAGGTTGGAATGTGTTAGTTTTGTAACATGTTCATCTAGTAGTAAAATGTCTGGAGAATGTATTTCATTGTACAACAATTCAGAAATGCTTTTCCCATTATGATCAAAATGTAAAATATCTGAGCAAGGCTTCTATTGCTAGGTTATCTTAGAAGTAGACATTTGTGTTACCTTCCTTTTAATATCTGTTCAGCCTTTCTACTGATGTGCAGGAGCACGCTTTCACTTTGAGAAAATCTCTTTAGAAAGAGAAGTTGTCTAACTGCTTTTTAGGCCTCAGTTTAGATCATAGTTTAAAACTCTGAGTAGCTCTTCAAAAGTCGGGGGGACCTTAAGTGTATCTTAAGTGTAACTCTCAGCATGAGCTAGGAATATGTCTTTTGTCATACCATAGCAATAGATCTGATGCTAAACGCTACCGCACAAGAGATGGAAGATGAAAGGGCAAGATGAGGTGTTAATAACTTTTCTGGAAAGAGCGATTGACAGGTTGAACGGATATTGTGATACAAACTTGAAGTCATGGGGGGTTCAATTTCATTGTGGCGTTGTTTTTTTCTTTTTATATTTTGTACTATTTGTCTTGAGCAGTAGATACATGTTGAATACTGCTTTTCAGTTTCAAATTTACGTTATTTGTGAAGACGGTGTATGTGCATTTTTATGGTTAAGAAAATTTCCTTGATTTAAATGAAATATTAATTCAGGGGTTTTTTAGTTACTTATTTTCAGTTTGGGATAAAAAAATCTCATGTTTGCATGAAATTGAGAAACGTTTGAAAACTCCAAGGTAAAAAATGGAATGCAGGAAAATCAAAAAAAGCTTGGTTTTCTCTTATTTTGTGTGGTGAATATTTATTGAATCCTCAAGAACCATTATCACCCTTCTAGTTCTTGTTATCAGAGTTACTTCAGTAAGGCTTTTTGTTTGTTGACATTGTATGTCTCATCAAAATTAGCAAGGTACACCCTGTATTTTGTGTTTGCACTGTCAATATAATTATTAATTATTTTTTAAACACTTATGGCCAAATTATTAGTTCACTTAATGACTGTTAACTCACAATTATTTTTTAGAATAAGCTCATTTTTGTGTGGTTTTAGTATAGAAATGGTATCAATCTTGACAGTATAGTATTTATGAAGTGTTCCTTTTTCTTTTAGACACCCTTTCACCAGCATCCAGTCCTTCATCCATTAATTTTGCCACAGCTCCAGGTAGCATAGATGAATCACCCAGTGGAGCATTAAACATTGAATGTAGAATTTGTGGGGATAAAGCCTCAGGCTACCATTACGGAGTACATGCTTGTGAAGGTTGTAAGGTACAGTCATAATTTTCTTTTTAAGAACCTAAATCATGTTGCTTTATTTACAGGGTTATATGAAGATAAACATTTGTTACATAAATGTTTAATTAATATAATTCTAGCCATTACAATTATTTAAATAATAAACATATCTGTGATTTTTTTTTCTGAAATAAATTGTTCAGATACCATAACTCAATACCAGACCTTCATCAAGCAGGGGCAATTCACAATGATAATTTTAATGCTGCTTTTCTGGATATAGTTAGTTAAACACTAAAACAACTTAAAACACTAAACTGTGACCAAAAATCAAAGCCTACTTGCTCCACTAGTGTTTTATTTGTGTTGGGAGTATGGCTGTGAGAAGCATGCCAGTTTGCTACGTTTCCATTATAACAGTAACAAATCCTGAATTTCTCATCTCCACCACATTCTGCCTGAATCACTTAGTATTGAACCTCCTGTGGTTTTGGGGCCCAGTGCATGTCTCTGGGGCAAATTAATGTTATCATTAATATATAATTTTTGGGATTATATGGCCCATGAATTATAAGATTCTTTTCTTTTTCCTTCTAATGTTTTAGTTTTCCATTTTTTTCTAAACTATAATGTCAGGTGAGAAAAAATATTGTATATTGTGTACATTTTTCTTTCACGCACAATGTCAGAACACGGTAATTCGAATATAAATCTTAAGGAATAATGCTAGAATATCTGTTAGAGATGGGGAGCTAATTCATAGTCAGTTATGTCCCATAGTCTAAATGGCATGTTGCTATGTCATGTGAAGCAAAATGTGGCAATGTCTTTTTAAATTGCTAACCCTATGATTTCTTAGTATGAGACTAACCTTACCTTGCAGTATCAAGACACCACGGTAAGATCTGTTGAGTTATAGGCTTTTCTGTAACGCTCATTTTTGTGTCCTTGGCTTTTCCTATACACTGTGCTGTGTTATCATACCCCTCGCATTTGCTGGATGAAGAAAAGGTGTTAAATCTGTGTGTTTGTGTGACTTACACATATGAAAGATGAAGGTTATTTCTGACAGAGGACACAGAGAATGCTTACAAAAGCAATATGTGACTGTTTTGCTTAATCCTTAAGAGCAAATCTGCTCGGGTACTCTGGGCTCTTGGTCCTCTCCCAAGAAAGAGGGCTGAGATCTCCTCCCTCCTTTCGTGTTTTCCATTCTATACATGCGTTCATACACACCGCATACACATTGCATAGATTCTTACCTTTGGACAGGTTATGCTTTGCTTATTGTTTTGCTAGTGACATCAATAAACAATAAAAGAAAAAAAAATTACCAGTATGATTGAAGTTTAGTAGTCAACATTCTTTAATATTTCATATTGTTTTCTTAAACTTTTTATAGGGTTTTTTTAGAAGAACAATTCGTTTAAAACTCATCTATGATAAATGTGATCGCAACTGCAAAATTCAGAAAAAAAATCGTAATAAGTGCCAATACTGTCGTTTTCAAAAGTGCCTTTCAGTTGGAATGTCACATAATGGTAGGTAAGAGTGCCCTTAATAATTTGTTTGTTCCTACCCAGAGTCTGCTTCTGGAAGCAGGCACCTGGATAGCGTTTTTACTTACACGTATGAGTTGAACCTCAGATTTTTACCGTATAGATCGTGGCAGGGGACTCCAGTTTCCCTAATGAGTAGTTAATGTAATTGATAGGCAGCTGCCAAATGTACTGTTATGAGCTTTACACAATTGTGCTGGATGTCTGTTTGTCCATATGAATGTTCATTTAGTTGCTTTCTTCACCCAGAACTTTGGCACCATTACTCCCATTGAAACAGATTTCAATACTGGAAGAATTCTGATCAAGGGCATTGTAGACGAGTAGAAGGAAAACAACTAGCTCATTGTGGGAGGGAATGACATAGGATAGAAATCTGTAGGAAACCAGACTTCATTATTTTTCAGGTTACAGTGCAACAGCTCTTGGGCAGATGGTTCAGGGAGTGTGGGGGGAGGGCGAAGATCTGTGCTGACTGTGGAGCAAGAATCTGGTAGGTTGCTTGTTAAATGGAATGGTAAAAATTCAGAGCATTTAGATATCCAGTTTAAAAATTATGTTATTGTTTGTGTTAATGATTTAAGATAAGGCTGGTAAGCCTGTGGCTTACAGGCCAATTTCAACCCACAGGGCAGTTTTATGCACAGTATGTAGCTTGCTAAGCAACTTTGGAAAAGAGGGAGAGGCCAAGCCATGAGAAAGCACATTTTGGTTGGCCAGATGACAGTAGTTTGCTTTCCCTAAGTAGTTCTGATAATGTCAAGGCTGATCTTGGGAGCAGGTGCAATTTGGGAGTAAGTGAAAAGTGGGTGGAAATGCTGGGCTAGGTGAAAAGCTGTGGGTTAGAAGAAGAACTTCCTAAGGAAACTATGCAGTCAAGATAGCTGGGGTGGGGATGTGGTTGGGGAAGCTGCCTGTGACATTGTAGTCTAGAGTCCTAGCAAGAGACACTGGAAGAGTTAACTTTCTGGTTCTGGGGAAGTCTGGCTCCCTTGTGGTGAGCCTTGACTGAGATTGAGGTCCATTGGGAGAGGGTTGATAGTCTCTACAAGACGTGATCACCTTCGTGAAGCAGCAGACTTGGGAAGAGTGTGCCAGCCAACAAAGTAACATCTCAGGGGCAGGAGTTGAGCAGGGAGCTGTGCTGGTTGGCAGGAATTAACATTTGATTGAAGCTGTTTCATCCCACTAAAACACTGTAGGCAGCTGTGCTCTAGCTGAAGGGAGTAGTAGCAGTTTTACTGCAGCAAACACATGGGAGTCAGTGGGGGAAGGAGATGACTGCTAACTTGCAGGTGATACTTCTCAGCAAAAGAGCTAGAACCAGATTTACAGCCACAACCTTAAAACTGTAAGTTTCAGTTTAGAGCAGATATTCTTCCACTTTTCCAATAGACCCATGGCCAGATTCTGAACAGGCCTTCCATGTTGGGGTTCCATTGAAGTTCAAAACTGTATTTCAGATCACGCTTAGAGTCACCTCCTTATGTCATGAGATAATTCCTTGGGCATCTTGAAGGGCTAATTCTGCACATGCTCTGAATTGCTCAGTCTAAGCGGTGAGGTTCTGTCCTCTCACTGGTTAGATGCTGTAATGCGGTAAGAGTAACCAGCTATATTAGCCATCTCAAAACCTTGCACAACATCAGAGGGTAAGGCCCCTTTTAAAATGGAGCTGTTTTAGTTTTAAACTGAAACTGAAGAAGGATGTGGACATGCCTATTTTATTGCTAAATGGCAAGACCACTTGCCCAAGAACTGGGAGACCTCCATATCCAGTGGTGTTTCAAACTCGCATCTCCTGCCTCTCAAAAGAATATCCTAATGACTAGATTGGATACTCATACTCTATTCTTATCCTCTCCAGCCTTGAAGGGCTAATTTATTGAAAAAAGAAGCATAAAATGCTGGGTCTAGGAGGAGGTTTTGTTGACTATAGCCTTTGAGCATAAATCTGGGTCTCTGGTCTGTTTTGTTCTCACTGGACAGTACAGATATGTTGAACTGAACATTCAGTGCATAAAGAACTGAATGTCCCAGCAGGTTCAGAATCAGCAATGGGATTCGGGCCCAACTCTGTTGCAGTGTTGCCTGCGGACTAACTCCCCAGGCAGCTTTCCAGCTGGCATGTGTGCTCTCTGCCAAGCTCCTGACATGAGTTCACTCAGTTTTTTAGAATTCCCAAGGTGGACTTTGAGTTTCACGTTGGGAGTTGTAGAACACAATACGGAGAAAACAAAATACGACTACTTAGGTAATGTAAAAGGAAAAAGGCATGCATTCTAGCTCATTGCAGATACCAGTTTGTGTTTTGAAACATCTGATTACCTTCAGTTTAGCATATTGTCTTGATAATTAGTCACTGACTATTTTGGAAAGGATGAGATTTTTTCCCTCATGAGTTTATCATGATATAGATACTACCTCTACCTCAGTTTTTCTAGACAGAAAGTCTTACTGCTCTAATCAGCAACGGTAAAAGACATAGGTTTTTCTATAACTTATGTTTGTTTTACAATTATGTCTTCCCATCAGCAATACGTTTTGGACGAATGCCAAGGTCTGAGAAGGCCAAGTTGAAAGCAGAGATTCTAACAGGTGAAAATTATGTAGAAGATTCAGAAATGGCAGATCTTAAATCACTTGCCAAAAGAATTCATGATGCTTACCTGAAAAACTTCAATATGAACAAGGTTAAAGCCAGAATCATCCTTGCAGGGAAAACTAATAACAATCCAGTAAGTACTTTTGCTGTAACTGTAAAGTAAAGCTGGCAAGTACATAAGGTGATTACAATAACTTGTTAAACTCTTCAGCAAATCTTTTAGAAAATAAATATTATGCTAATAACAGACATGAAATATGCAAAAAGAATACCTGTAGTAAATATGGTTGCTTTTAGCCACTATCAGAATAATAGGAAGCTTTAGGAAGATCAGGTGATTACCTTGTAAATGGAAGCTCATAACCTTAAATTATAGTAGACAAACAAGGGAAAGAAAATTAATTCTTAATCAATTAAAAAAGTGACATCTGAATGTGAATACCTCTTGGTATGGGTGTGGGAAATGGTTCAAAACTGATTTTCTATTATGACAGTGAAAAAAAAACCTTATAATGTTTTTCCGCCACAAATGCCAGGATAAATACTGTTGTCTTTTAGGGTATCCAGGAGCTCTGTATGACTTTTGTTTTAATCACAACAACATTAATGGCAGGAGGGGAAAGAAAACTTGAGTTTGTAATTCTTTGTTTACAGTTCTGGCCATTTCCTCACCTGGCCTTTCTGGTCTTTACTGTATGGTTACTTTGAAAGGGAGAAGCAAGCAAGGTTGTGAAGACATGTATGCTGTAGAGGTTATTTTTCTTTCAGGATAATTTAGCCAAGGTCTACCTAATGCTATCAACTGCTTTTTGTTTTGTAGCACACGAGATTGTATAACCATTGTAAGGACTGACTTGTTTAACTTTATGCATAATTTTTAAAAAATCTGTTGTGATTTATGTTAATTATATGTAGAAGATAAGTATCTTATTTTACCAACAATTTTAATTTCAGCAAAACTTTGCAGGGAAGAGGTTTTACATATGCCACAATAAAACCCATGTAACTGTGCGGATGAGTGTTATAAAAATTGTAAGCAAGCTGTCTTCTAAATTATGGAATTTGGCATATTATAGTCTAGTCTAGCCAAGCATACAGGCTTCTATATAAAAAGAGAGATATATGAATAATCCCAGTCTTTCATTGGATTAAAGAGAAGCGTAAAATTAAGGACAGGCTTAAACTTTTTTGGGGGGTACAAGCTGACATAAGCCTACAGTAAATACCAAGCTTTAACACCTTACCAAGTAGGTATCTGCATAAAGTCCTTCTCGAGCTTGTTACCACATGTCAGAATCATAAGTTACAATATGTATCGTACATGCAGGGATTCTAGTTTTTGTGTCCGCATGTATGCGATCAAGGCGCTCAGATTATAGTCATCCGATTGACTAGCTAACAGTGGCTTGCACGTGTCTTGGTGAATTTACAAGTAAAAATCAATGAGGAGTCAGACCTAGTATGTTATAAACAGGCTGCTTCCTCATTCTTCAGTATGCAAGGAGGAAGAGAGGTTTTTCTAAGCTATTTCATCATCTCTTGGGAAAACAGACGTTTTAATTTTGACTTTTTAATAGAAAAAAAAGGGGGGGGTTGTTGTTGGTAATTAGTAATCCGCCTGTTTCTGAACAGTGCATTAACAGCTGATTTCAGTGAATCCTGATTCTTGGCACCACTATAATTCATTTCAGAATGAACTAGCATTTTTCATGATGACAAGGTATCGTTTTTAGATTTAGCTCCTAAGTCCTTGGCCATACCTATTTTCTGCATAGTGAAATGATGCTAAATTCCAAAAAGATTTATGAGATAGTCTACATCTTTTAAAGGGTTTAGAAATGTGGTGGGTTTATTGCTTTGCCACTTTCTGCTCATATCCACATGCACATAGAAAGTTCTGTTCTGTATAACTCTAAGTACTGAAGTGAGATGGAATGTGTAGTTGCGATAAGCATTTAAAAAATGGACAACTGTGAGAAACTAGCATGTTTGACAGTTTTCTAAATGAAATAAGTGAATTCTATGAGTTTCTAACAGAACACTAAGTGTTCCTCATGATATTTAATCTGAGATGAGCAAAACAGCACCGGGAAGGTGCTTTGCTTAGCATTAATGGAACTAGATTTATGTTCGAGGTCAATTGCCATGACTTTGGTAGGCTGGGAAGCATTGGGTTTTGTTGTTTTTCTTTAGTGGGTTGTCCTCTGTTTTGATTACTGCTCTTCAGATATGTATCAAAGTATTTTTGAGTTCTGATTGTTCTTAAGAAAGTCTGAATGCTTTTTTTATATGAAGTTTTAAGAGACCAGCTCATCAGTTTGTAATGCACGTACCTTTTTAAATTAAGGGGGTTATGGAAAAGACCATGACCAAGACTGAAATTTTGTGTTGTCTGGCATTCTAGTGGGATTCTGCGTTTAGGGATGACTCAGCACTAACTGTAGCTAGAAAGATGAGCTGAATTTCTGTGGAAGATCAGCTGGGACATAGTCTATGAAAATCTCATAATAAAACACAAGAGTAGTACAGGGTTCACGTTCTTGTACAAATACGCTGTCCTATATTTAAATGACTGTCTGTATTCCCCCTAGGATACTTCAGGAAAGCATCATGATGTGCATCAAGTTTAGTTAGTTTAGGAATCGATAGGACTGTAGGCAGAGTAACCTGGACTTCTGGAGAAGGTAATACAAGTCTTTTGTGAACCTTCTGGGACTTGCTCTGAGATGGATATATGCATACTAAGCACAGTACTTCTGGATCTTCACTATAACTACTACATAAAACTAGATTAAAGATATGTCATACATATTTACATTTTATTATTTGCATTGTTGTTTGCAGAGCAGACTTGTTCTCAGATACCGCAGTTTGTAGTTCTGTAATACGTGGTTTGTCTTTATGCAGAAATATGAAAGAACTCATGGTTTATTGATAGTTGAAGACTGAGTAGCATGAAAGTTAAACTTTATCAAAATTCCTATTCTTTAGGAAACGAATGATTAATAACCATTATTTTGTAACTGAATTAGCATTTTTTTCTCTGCAGCCATTTGTTATACATGATATGGATACCTTGTGTATGGCAGAGAAGACCCTGGTGGCAAAATTGGTAGCCAATGGAATTCAGAACAAGGAAGCAGAAGTTCGAATCTTCCACTGCTGTCAGTGTACGTCTGTAGAGACTGTCACAGAACTTACTGAATTTGCCAAATCTATCCCTGGCTTCTCCAATCTTGACTTGAATGATCAAGTGACACTGTTAAAATACGGAGTTTATGAAGCCATATTTGCCATGTTAGCATCTGTGATGAACAAGGACGGGATGCTGGTAGCCTATGGAAATGGTTTTATAACCCGGGAGTTCCTGAAAAGCCTGAGAAAGCCATTCTGTGATATAATGGAGCCAAAATTTGATTTTGCAATGAAATTCAATGCACTGGAATTGGATGATAGCGATATATCCCTTTTTGTTGCTGCCATCATTTGCTGTGGAGGTAAGCACTACATATTTGTTCTTTAAGGTAGTAAATTTTAAAATTTTCTTCATGTGAATGAATAATTTTAATGGAAAAGCTTATATATTTCTTGAAGATTCAGTTCTACCACTAACAGTGTCATTTTCCTTTTTAGTATGTTTCATGGAAGATACTGTGTAACTGTTAAGTCTTGATCCTGTATTTTGCTTTGCAGAATCGTAGATGTGCTTGGAATTACTGTTTAGGCTCACTTAGAGAGGGGTCTAGTTACTCTCTGTTTTTAAAAGTGGGATGTGAAGAGTGTTGGTGGGGTTTTTTTGTTTTGGGGTTTGGAGGATTTTTTTTTTTTTTATGTTTAAGGCTGTGTTGGAAACAGTATTTGTATCTGCCAAATGGGCAGAAAAATACTATGTAATGAGACTGGAGGCAGGTGCAGATTATAGCTTTGCTCATCTCTGACAGTTGCTGATTGCATCATGTAATGAATTCTGCACAAATGCACAGCTCTGATGCACTTCCTGTGTTCTGATTTTAATATCACAGGCTATTTTAAAAACACAGCTTACTTAGCTAATTAAAAATAATTAGCTAATGGTATTTTTTTTAAATTATTTCATAGTACCTAAGGATATGGGGTTTGGATTTTTTTTTGTTTTGTTTTTTTAATGCCTGTTGTTTGCACTCTTTGTGAGTGAAGGAACACAAATGTAATCCTTTCTTTCCTCCAGAAAGTAAGGACGTTCATATTTAAGGTTAAATTCAAAACTATCCATAAGCATTTTGAAAAAGGGAAATAAAAGATCAAGAAAGTTCCAACAACTGCTCCCGCCTGCCTTTTCTGCATTCTGCCATACTCATAGAATGTTTCACTGCCCTGGTTGCATCCTCAGCAATTACAAGAAGAGAGGTACAATCTGTAGACTTTCATGTGCTAGCTTAGACAGCATGTTTCCATCAAATCTTGAATTACTTTTGCATAATACATTGGTGTTCTGATGTTTTCAAAAGTGAAGAGAGTTCTTTGCAGGCAAAATGTTCTTGGTTTTTTTGTTTTTCGTTTTTTTTTCCCCTCTATCCTTCTCCTTGGAACTAGCTTAAGTTTTCAAGTAACATGTTTAGTCTGTTGTCCCAACTTCTTACAGAGAAGTTTGATCTGGAGAGTGAAGGTATTACAGGACTGTAAGTAGCTGAAAATGAGATCATATACTAGAAAGTGTGAAACATCCTTAACAGGTGCATCTCTATGTCCTGTCAATAACTTGTGCTATGGCAATATACATATGGGAACCAAGAGTGAAAGCCTATTATTTACGTCTTGCTGTATTGCTACCAAACTTCAGGAACTCCCTAGAAATAGCCACATGCTTTTTTCTCCATCCTTACTGTTTGAATTCTGTTATCAGGACATATAGAACATAGAACTGGATTCCTAGGCGGGATACTTCTGCTGGTTTTTGGGGTGAGAGAGTGGTGTGGGGTTTTTTCTTTTTAGCATGGGTTGTATTTAGTAGTATGAAATCTCTCCTCAAATAACTGTGGGCATTGAAAAAACTTTGGCCAAACTGTTTTGGGTTTTTTCCCTTCTTTTCTTTTTTTTAAAACAATTCATTTTGAGCCTTATTGCCCTCGGTGTATAATGTAAATATACGTTGTAGCCTACAATATAGAATCTATAAAGTAGCCTACTTTAAAGAATAATTACAAAATTATGACATGTATTCTTTTGTTTGTTTTGAGAACAGATCGTCCCGGTCTTGTAAATGTAGGACACATTGAAAAAATGCAGGAGAGCATTGTGCATGTACTGAAACTTCACTTGCAAACTAACCATCCTGATGACATCTTCCTCTTCCCGAAACTTCTCCAAAAAATGGCTGACCTCCGACAACTTGTCACAGAGCATGCTCAACTTGTTCAGATAATTAAGAAGACTGAATCTGATGCACATTTACACCCTTTACTACAGGAAATCTACAGGGATATGTATTAAGGATTTTTAGTATTTTTTTCCACCATATTTAAAGACGAGCAATACTAATAACAGATGGGAGCAAAACTACTTGCACAGTTATCTGCTGTTCACTCAGTCCAGAGCATGAAAAATCTAAAAGCTGGGTAACTGGAGTGTTACACTGCTTTTGGTTTGGGATCTTTTGTCTTCTTTTGAAACAGTTCTGCAGAAAAATACTGATCATAGTGCTCATGAAGTGTCTTACAATGGTTCTTTTATTTGGAGAATTGAAGATTGGTAAGGAATACATATTTGTACAATAAATCAGAATGCTAAGTAACAGAAACGAACAAAATCGTATTTCCTCTTGGCTTAGTCATTTTAGAATTAATATAACAAATTCAGCAAATTCTCTCCAGGTGTATGCACAATCATAAAGATTATCCACTTTTGGCTAATGGTAATTACTGAGAACCAACTAACACTTTTTCTTACAGCAGTCAGTCTAGGCGTATCAAATGGTTGGACATTACTGTACATACACTTCTAAAAAATTTGAAAGACCTTTTATCCGCTGCTGCTTTAATTCCATGAAATGCAGTACAGCTTCATATAGTATTACATTACTATACCTTAGGATTAGCATGTTTAAAAGATGGTTCTCTTATGAAATGAAATAAAATCTGAAGAGTTATCTAAAATACAGCAGAGATGCTCCATTCAGGTGTTTCTTGAAGAGTAAATGTGATAAAGCGATGGAACCCTTTTTTCAAAAGTGTTTTAAGGAAATATGAAAATGTCTGTGAGGAAAAATATATCCTACCATGTGTATTTTGGAGAACTTGTAATAGCTCAAGATGCAGTTTTGAACTTAAAAATACTATTTTGAATTAGAAAGACATTTGGAGAGACTGAAAAATCTGATCCTAGCCCAGAAAAAAGAATTCCAACTGCACAGCATTCTAGTGCAGTGACAGCTTACTCTGAAGAAATGATTGTATAGGAAAGGCACCTTCTTTCTTGGCAAGTATCTTGGCAGTATAGAGTTGTTTGGACCTGTTTACTTTTCTGATGAGTACGCTGTTTCATTTTTTCCCAGTTATCCACTCAGATAGATTTCTTTCTATTCCTTCTTAGGCCTTGTCAATAGAAGTATTAGATAGATTATGTCACCAAATTTTGTCCTTGTCCTTACAGCCATAGTGGATAAGGTGACAGTATTACCAAGAACGGCGTTGGTAGGTGTCAATTGTGTAATTGACAGCACAGTTGACAGTAAGTTTATCATGTTCCTGAGAGCTAACTATGATTTTACAATGGTACTTACTCCTGATGCAAAATAAGCTATAAGGAAACTGCTTGACTTTGCCATTTTACAGGATCGTTTATCAGAGAGTACTACACAAAAGTGCGAGCTGCATGCAAGACACTGTGCTATTTCTTTTCCTTTTTTTTAATACGGTAACTTCACATTATTATTTCTTTATTTTACTATTTGTTTCATAACAAGAAAGATCTCGGCAGCCAATCTTAGCATTTTCACAATAGATAAGCTTTCAGTGGCACAGGAGGACACTTTGTACTTGTTTTATTGTAGCACATTTGAAGACTTCAGAATCTTAAACCTTCACTGCAAGAATTAAGTAAGATCGATGAGGTGAGAACATCACACGATGATTCTTATTTTAGTCACAATGTTTGTTTCTTTACAGGCCTGCTGGCATGGCTAGACACTGGATAAATTACAGGTTTAAAAGCAATTTGGTATTTATCCAGGCGATGGTCATTAGCAGAGGTTTTAGTGTCAGATATATTTAGTGTAAAATATTGAAGCATAGGCCTCAAATTTGGTGACCAGCCGGGGCAGGATAGAAACAATAAACGTATGTGCATAAAACTCTCTCCCCTTCCCTGTCGCCAGTCAGCAACAGGAAGACTAGGCCTTACGTTACAGCTACTTCTAATGCTTCATTAAGAGAAGATTGTTGGTCTTACCAGGAAACAGGAGATGAGAAATAGGTTGTCTTTTGTGTCTTACAGCAGTACGTAGTATGCCCTCAGAAATAACGAGGATTTTAGCAATGATGCTGCTTTAGTCTTCAAGTCAGCCATGTTTTGCTAAGGAGCTGTGGGGTTTAGGCATAAGACACTGAGCATTGAAATAATTGATACGCAATACTGCTTACTCAAAAAAATTGTCAAAATATCAGGCATTCTGTGATAGCATACTGAAACTCTAATAGCCAACTGTTTTAAGTTTATCTTCTAAAAAAAGTATAAGCCAAAATTTTTTTCCCCCAAACCTCATATTTATGCAAAGGGCAAATTTCAAAGTTGTGTTCCATAGTTTGGGTGTGCTGAAGTTTCTCAGAAAAATCAGACACAGTCAGTGTGGACAAAAACTCTTTTTCCTGCTCTTGTTCTCAAAGTGGCTACAACACTTTACTGAAACTTTTAAAAAACATGGAAAATTTAATAACAAAGACTTAAATTCTCAGCAAAACTATAAAGAACTGGAAACAGCATCATTCAGTGGAAGGCATAATGTTTAGCTATATTAGCAGCTGCTTGTAACAGGTTCCTATTATTGGCATTAGGAAAGTGCGTAATTTGCAGTTTTCCTGTTCCAGATCCATTTTGTTTTGTTATTTGAAAACAGCAAGTGTTTTTTGACTAGTTCCTTGGACCCTGAAGTTTGATTTCTGTTTTAAATTAAATTGCAGGCCTTTAATGAAAAAAAAAAATGGAAAGAACGCATCTCTGAATTACAGAAATATGAACAAGATGTTAACATAGCCTAAAATTCTGGATAGATTCCACTGCCCGCACTGCTGCACCGTGCACATACCCACAGTCTCTTCAAAGAACGACACAGGGCAGACAATTCACTTCCTGAGTGTTAATGGGCAAAAGAAGTTCTTAATCGCTACATTACACTTTTAATGAAGTACATTAGCTACTTCAGAAGGTGACTGCAGCAGGCTTTTGACAATTAGATTTCAAAATGACTCAGTTTGGGTTAGTTTTCTTTTTGTGAAGTTTGCAATCTGAACTAGTTTGAGATATATTACTGAGGAGCCTTCAGCATCTCCAACCTTGTACAGATCATCTAATATTTTAAAATACCCATTCTATGGAGGGAATAAAGTGATCGGTTTTTAGGATTAAAGAAGTATTAAAGATTTACTGGCTTGTTAGGTATAGTTTTGATCTGATTCTTATCAGCATAACTTATTTTACTATCATAGCACCGAAGAACTCTGGTTAGCAACCAGGTACCCACAAAGAGCTTAAGACAAGAGACAACAGATGGATAGAGAAAAATCCTAGGAAACAATGGTACGACTTAATTTTTCAACAAACCTACAGCTTACTCATTTTTGAGGGTTGTTTGGGGTTTTTTTTAGTTATTTATTGGGATGCCCCAGGTACTTTGACAAAGGGGAGGGGGGGGGAAAGGAAGGTTTTACATCAAGTGTTAGGGAAATCTGATGTTCATTTTTATCTCCTTCTTAAATATTTTCTTTAAAGGTGTACTGTCTTTGGTGTAACAGCACATAACTGCTGTTTAAAAAAATCAGTTACTTTGTACCTTTTTAAATGTCAGAATCCCACTTTTATTTTAAACACAAATTGACAGACAATAGATAGGAATGTTTTCCACTTACAGAAATTGAATCTTTCTTCACATTTAAAGAAATCTCCTTTTTTATTTAATTGCCATTTCCATGTGCCTTTGTGCTTTGGTTCTAGCTAGCTGCTAGAAAGCTGAAGTGTTGCCAAAGAGCATATTTTTGCATTATTTCTGGCCCGCACAGATTTAGGAAATACCAGCAGTTGCACTAAGTCCGTTCTCATGAGAGAGCTAGCACAAGTTTGCAAATCAAAGAGCTTATAATAAGCATCTAAACATTTGTTTGTTTATTCAAACTGCTAAAACTTGGGGAGATTTATTCATCACGAGAGCTGGGTCACATACTATTAAATTTGAATTTCCTCCTTATTTCTCATGGAAAGCCTGGACAACTTATGCACCATCTTAGGCAAAGCAGTTGGAGAAGATTACACTGTAGCTGCCTGTACTGTGTCTGAAGAGGAACAATTTCAGCTCTGTCTCTCCTTAAAAGCATCCATCCCTGTTACTTAGTTGAAAATCTGCAACTACATTTAACAAATGCATTTGCAGCTGTTGTGATATTGCTTAAGCATAAGGTCTTACAAATAACGGCCCGTCCCTGAAAACCCTGATCCTTTATTAAGTGTTGAAATGTAAGGTGTAGTGTAGTAGCTGGTGCTTGTTTGTATCTCAAGTGCTTTCTTGATAATCAGTTGCATATATTTTTTTTAATCTAGGTTTAATCAGCTTTATTATCCTTCTTTTACTAGAGATTTAAATTATATGTGGGTTTGATCTAAGTTTATTGATATTGTTATGTATTGTGGGATTTTTTTAATTTAATGTAATACTATTTCTTCATGTTTCAATTTGTAAAATACAAGAATATAATTGCAAGCTATAAACTTTCACTAAATTATATTACAGAGGTGCTTTAAGAAAAATATGTAAATTATTTAATTTAAATATTTGTTTCATACTTTATCTTGTGAACCCTTTTGTACAGTGAGGAAAGATTTACTTTTATGGGGTAAGGATGATGGGCCTGAAGTCAAAGACAAACTGCTATTTATTCCTGTTTGGTCTCTTACTGTATCATTTGTGAAGAAGTATCATAAATTCTGCAACTTATCAGTGTTTGGTATTGATAACTGTAACAAAATTTTATAATATATTTTCACATAGAACACAGACTTCCTTTTATTTAATTTTAATAAAAGTAAGTCTCGGTGAGGAAGAGCTGTAATCCCAAAATTGAGTTAATATTTTTAACGGTTTAACTCAAGTTCACCAATATGGAAGATAGGCGATAGAACTAAGTTCATCTTTGCTTTACAGCACGGTAGTTCGTTTTCCTTAAAAGTCTGAGAAGAGAGCTAAAAAGATCTACAGCCTGTTAGTACTCCATTACTGATATTTTCTGAGGAACTCACTTGTGGCTTACTAGAAATAACAACGTGTATTCAGGATTACTTCCTGCAGTTTTTGTAGATGTATTTTAAAATATGTAATTTGGCAGTGCAAAACAAACGGTTGAAATGCCATTATTGGTTTTTCTACGGGAGTGTTCCCTTTAGGATTTTAAGTAGAGATTAATTCAGAATCTGTTCATAGGGATTCTGTGTCCTGTGATTCAGATGTGACAGTCTGTGCCTA